CACGCCAGTGAATCGATCACAACAATACTCTAGTTTTTACTCTTTCCAGACAATTATAAACTTAATTATTTTAAAAAATTATTTTATATTATTCCAATAGTTTGAATAGGAGCTGACGCAACATGCCTTGCAAACCGTTAATTGCGAGCAGGTTTAGGCAATCTGAAAGCTTGCAATGTACCTAATACGAGCTTCTTCCTCTAAGAAAATACAATTAAATCAATTGTTTTCGAAGAATATACTGAAAAATATGTACCTAGCTTTGATCTTCTTCTATCATCTGCTTTTTTTCTCCGTTTTTTCGATTTTCCTTAGAGTAATTGACAGTCAAGAGTCAGTTGTAGAACACGCGTGAAAGATGTCAACTCCATTCGGAAAAGAAGCATATAGCTATTATAATATATATATATTATATACAAGAATGTACACAATAACCAGATCAAGTTAGAAAGGCATAAGTTACTTACAAGAATAGGAAGACGGCACGTATTTATACATTGCAGGCGGGCATCGAATTCTATAAATAAATCAGAGGTGTTCAAACGATCCTTGGCCCGAAACATATTTGGCACATCTTCAGTCAGCTGCGGCCTTATCCATTGCGAGGCTCTGGGCGGCAGATCTTCGCGAGGCCCTTGTCCTTTGTGCAAAGTATGTGAATTGAAATAGTAGGCACTTATTAATATTAATATATACTGTACTATAAATTAAATTTATTTTATTGTTATAACTAATAGCCTAGGATAAAATAAAAAGTTTAAAATATCAACTTTTTTCTACTTGGTTGTTGCGCGAGGCCCCTCCAAGAGCGAGGCCCCGGGCGATTGCCCTGCTCGCCACCCCCTAAGGCCGCCACTGCATCTTCTATAAATAATAGAAATAGACGTTACAGTATGATTAACGAGTAAAGCAATTTTAAAACGACAATTATTTACTGTGACATCGTTCGTTCAAAACAAACGTTTTGAATTGAAATAACGTCACTTCTGGTCTAAACTGGAAGTTCGTATACAGTTAATCGGGGACTCCTATCCTTAACACTTCCATATTTTGTCTCAATTGTCATCTATCTAACTCCGTTCTCGAGATTAATTAATTAAGTAAGGACAGTGGGAATTTTTCAGCCGATTGCAGAGACAGAGTTTACGTTAAACGACGTTTATCAACAGAACGGCCTATAGACGTTGGCTGGCTGAACCGCGGTTTAAAATGCGTTGCAAAGACGACGATCGTCTATTTCTGACCGTTCTCTAAACGAACTTTGGCAAAACATTGGCTCTTAGTTACTTCGCTATTACTCCCCTGTTTTACCCTGTTGTATTTAAGGCCGTCAAAACCATTGTACGGCAATTAATGAAAATCCTTTTCCATTTCGATATTTAATTTCGTCGCCAATACGGTTTAAAATATGAACAAATCCATATTTAGAAAATTTATACTGAATTCAGAATAGATTTTTAAGGAATTATTTCGACATCTTATTACTGTCGAAATGAATAATTTTAAATATTTTAATATTATTAATATTACATTTTTTATATCTATAAACAGATTTCTGTAATTATTAAAATTGTCTCGTTTGTTTAACAATACAATGACTCCGAAATGCATTAACGTTTTATAACCGACACGATACTCGAATTGTAAATAAATGCATCTGATTTAAATTAATTGAAGTTTTAAGTCTTCACCCATTTGAATATCGAAATTGGAACATTTAAAACAAATTTAAAGTATTTAATTTTGTTGTTTTTGCTCCAAGCAATTAATTAATGAATAATTTTGTCGATTCGTACCGTTTACAACATTTATCAAAGGAACGATATCTGTTTTTATGCTACCACTCGAATTGAAAAGCCTTCTAAACCTGCTGTCGAGTGAGTCTAGAAAATAGGTCAAATAACTTGTTTCAATCGCTGTCTACATTGTGGCAGGCGAGAAACGCCGTCTCTGCAATGAAATTTTTCTGAACAGCGGTCTACCCGATCTGTAAACCGCCGTCGGTCTCTAAACGTTGTCTCTGAAATCGACTGTATAGGTCTACACTTTTCCCAATTAAGCTAGGTTTTAAAAAGAATTTTCCTTTTGTTCTCTATCTTACAACAATTTTTAATCACCTAAAAAGGGAAAGAGTGTAATTTCTGTAAGTATCTAAGTAATTTATTCGAATTTTTTCCCTTAATCACTTATTCAAACATAACTTATGCTAATTGAAGGTGTTATTCCATTAATATTTTATATATTTTTTTTTAATCCAAATCGTGTCAATTAATGTTTATATCATTTAAAGTTTTGTCTAGTTTTTTAATTGACGACAATTTCTTTAAAAACAAAGTAAACAAATCGAATTTTACATCATAGCTGTATCAGAATTAATCTATTTAAACATTATTAATATTAATGGCTAAAAGAGCTTTACATAATTTAATATTAAAAGTCACGAAATTGATAAAAATATAAAATATTCGTAATGAGGACTTATCGTGCCACTAGTAAACAAATTATACAATTTTACAGTTTTTTTTTATTTATTTCTGTCCATCATACACAATAAAAAACTGTATCATACATACACAGCCTTCCTTTTCTTTAGTTTTAGTGCCAAAAATTTAATTTCGGGAAAATAATGATCCTAATTTCTACTTTTTAATCTACGAATCCTATATTCATTAGGAATTACTATTAAAACGTCTTATCTCTTCTATATATAGGCCTATATATAGGATAGCCGAAGAAAGAAATTACGCCACACAAACCTTATAGGAAATGGGTCCCACTGGATTAGGCTAAATCTTCGATAATTTATGGTTCTTTTTGTCCTGATCGAGTCTCCTCCGTACGCACAAAGTCAAGAAATAGAGAGATTTTAAGTAATTAAGCATTCAAGATGTAAAAATAGCGCATGTGTTTTGAATGGGGAAGAAAATACAAGGAGGATTGTGGCATCTCGCTCCTCCTAATGTCGACAAATTCCACCGAACAATCGACAAAGTCATGCCACAAAAAAATAACAACAATATCGACATATTTTTTGGAATCAAGAGATATAAAGCAGTATAAAGAAGGGAAATAGGGGGTGAGGAGAATGGAATAACAGTTGTTAGAACGTAGAGTTTTATATTTTGAAACGAAAAAGATTTAGGACTACACAATACGTGCGCCAATTATGCTGTTATTGCATCTTAGATTCTCGAAACTCAAAAATCGAATCATTTATAGAAGAAAAAGCAGACATTTACACGATTTATAGAATGAAAAGCCTGAGATAGTTGTGTGCTCCATTTCCAAAACAGGTTAAATTATATAGAAAAAATGCAGGAAGCACTAAATATGACAAAAGTAAACAAAAAAATAACTAGAAAAGTATTAAATAATCTGAAATACATTAGAAACACGATAATTATGTTACTTCTACGAAAAGATTTCCAACTATAAATACTTGTAAGCAAAATATAAGAATACAATAGAAGTAAACATAAAAAATTAACATTAAAATCAGAAAAAAATATTTATTAGTTTCTGCAATAATAAAAGTACAAATAACTAGACAAGCTCTGTTAAGATAATCTTTCTGCTGAGATGATGACAATACTGAATCCAGAAACATTTTCTCATGAGGAATCATATGGATTTTTTAGGCCACGATCTGGTGAAAGCATATAATTTCCCAGGAGTAATACATAATATATCAGTAGAAAACTTGATTTTCTCACGGGAAAATCTCTTATCCACATTGCATTTAGCACAGACAAACATTAAATATTCTTACTTGTCTAAACTTAACATTAATTCTTTAAAAGTTTAGACAAGAATAGATTTAAATTATAAAATTACTCTGTAACTGCAAAATTTCATTTGTTTAATAATCGGGGAATTGTGGTTTGTTTAACATAACCAATACAAGGGAACTGGAACACTTCATAAAATAATGAAAAATTTAAAACCATTCACACGTGATGTCTGAGAAGAATCTTCTTTTATTTGATAATTGCATAAATGATGAATAACGGATAATCAAATGCATTGGACGTATGATAAATTCTTCTTTATTCTAATTCTTAAGCCAATGAAATTCTCTTCGGTTTGATTGTGATTTGAATTGTTTGAATCCGGACATGAATTCATCTGACAATATTGATCGATAGATGAATGCCTGCATTGTCTGTCAAGTTGAACGTTTATTATACGAAAGACAGAAAACTATAAATAGGCATTATTAAAAATCGAGACACAGATAAATTTAATAATCAGAGTTTTATAAATTTTAGAGATGTATTATCTTAAGGACCATTAGTGGTCAAGCTGTTCCGTTCCCTGAACACTGGGAGTTCGGTTATGGGTTCGCACCTCGCCAGGATGGGTTGGCCACGTGGAGTATTCTGATCTTTCTCCACTTCTGTAACGCCTAAATAGAAGCCAGTTACCCTTAAAAAGGCATTCCCTATAGGCAGATCGCCTAAGTGTTGCGTTACCGTAACTTAACTGAACAGTATTGTCTTAATTAAGTATTCATATATTGAAGAAAGATTAAAAGTTACTGTAGATTGTATATAATGTAGAAATACTAATACAAAGAAGAAACCATAAATAGATGACGCGAAATGAAGAGGAGAAGGAGGTTTATGGTCCCATTGTTAAATTATAAAGAAGTTGTGAATTCCATTAATATACAGTAATTTATAAAACTACTATTTATAAGCTATGCTATTGTTAAAATCTTTGTTTTATTCATCATCAGCGCACGCTATTAAATGTACACCACAATATTCATTATTGGGTTCATTGAAGGGTGTGTAACTTAAATTTGAAAATAGATTTTTATATTGTAATATAATGGTAAATATTTCTGATTTATTATCTTTATAAATGTTTATTTAACTCGACTTTTACAAAACTAATATCTGAGATGTTTCTAACTGAACCGGGGGAAAACTTTGACATCGAATTGAATTAGACAGTACAATAATTAAGTAAATTCTGAATACAAAACATTAATTTTTATAAATGATAAGTGCAATTACATGTAATTACTATCATATTTTCGACTTCAGAAAATAAATATTCTAGACACGCGTATTTATATCGAAAATTTATGACGAGAACGACGGATGTTTTCGGATATGCGCGCCTAAATTGGCCTAGCGTACTTGAAAAATTTATAATTGTTGTATTTTTAATATTCTAACAATCATTCCTAAAGAAAACAAAGTAAATTTACTCATTATTTTATTAGAATAAATTTTAAAAAATTGATTTTAAAAAATGATGATAAACTAACGTCGGTTCCGATGGTGTCTGCTATTCGGAGGTTATACTGTGTTTTGCATTGAAGAAGTACAGGTATTAACTTCTATTTTTATTGTGACTATTACTATTACAGTGTAATGTAAACTAACATTGCTAAGTTATTATTTAATTGTCAGGCATTATTTAAATCTGAAGCTACATTAGAATTGCTTTGACTTAAATCAATTTAAGCTCCGGCCAGATGGACAGTGTGATAAATTATCGTTTCAATCGGTTTCGGATTTGGCCTGACCCCACCGAATAAGTTGACACCTATAATCTTACATGATTTTTTATGGCTCAAGAGGTCCTCATTCCTCACACACGTGTAGAGACTATTACCAGTCGCGTAGCCCATGATAAGAAGCACATCAAAGAGTGTATGAAGTGTCGCAGCTATTTAGCCCAATAGATAAAACTACTGAATACTGATAGTTGGTAGGTGAAAGAGGCCCACTAACTTAGAATTAGTGGGCTTCTTTCTCCTATCTAGAACAGATATCAAGATAAAATTTTGCTTACCAACTGGTACCAACATACAGAAAATTTGCAGCGAACTAGATGAAAATCGAAATACCCGTTTTTAAATAGACTACTTTGCAATTTTTGAATCCTTTTTTTCAATTTTCTCTAACTTTTATTTCATTTTAACTCGAACATTTACTTATCACTTTTTTTCGCCGACGAGTACTGTACTTTCGAGCTTTTTTTTATTGAAAAATTCGAAGATAATACTCGACGTATCTAGTTTCTTCGCAAGATCTTGCCAAGTTGAAATCAGAGTCAGGCTGGAAATCTTTTCTCTGGCATTGAATTCCACAGATAAGTTTTAACAATTTTTCACATAATGAAAGAGCGCTCGCGACAGGCAACTGTGACGAATTGTTTTTTTAAAAATGTACGCAGGACGTGCCATATATCAAAAAGACTGTTGGCTAATACAGTAGATTTCTAATCCGGATCGCCAGTTATTCGAACTTTGTTAAAAATAAAAAAGCGTGTATTATATGCGCTTTATGTGCATTATTCGGATATTCCGCATATCCGGACGGCCCGAGGTTCCAATTAATTCGAACAACCGAAGTTTTACTGTAAATAATTTTCGATAATCAAAAATTTTGTAGGTCACGGACGTCTTTTAGTTCTTTCAATTTGTCTTTAAATGCACTACAAACTTTCAAAAGTTGTTTATCTATTTGGACAGTCAGGTCATTGTGGTAAATGTTTAAAAGTTTCGATGAAGCAGAATATACTACATTGTTTTTTTTCAATCAAATTTTCACAGCTACGAAAGTTCCACCATTCCATTTAGGTCCGTAAATCGAACTTTCAATTGCATTTGGTTTGGTTTATTTGTTTATGGCAACGTGTCGTGTGGACGATCTGTTGAGGGAAGATTTTCTATGGGTAACTGGTCCCTATTTAGGTGTTACTGACTTGAAGAAAACCCGGAAAACTCCACGTGTACGTGGCCAGCCGTTGGCCAGGCGTGAACCCGCGTCCAACTAGCAGTAGTCAGTGGTTTTATGGGTGCATCTTTCAATTGGGTTATTATGATATTCAGTATAGCATTAAACACTTGATTTTGAAAGTATTAATTAATACTTAGCAGGATCTTCTACTCGTATTCTTTTGTCTTGGATCAGTTCATCGAAGTCTTTTTACTTTCTTCGACTTGAAATGAGTCTTGATTCTCAATTGTTATAATTCAAAGTAGCGACTTTTGTAGCCTCATCAAAGTCATCGGGAGGCTTCTCTGTGTTTTCTAGAGAGTACTTAAGGAGTTCTGCTGCTTTTCTAACTTTTTACTTGAGAGACTGCAACGTTTCTGATGCAAGGTTTAAACTGGACAATATATTTACCTCCATGGAAATCATGACCCCACACCATTGATCAAATATCTCAACGTATTTTTTTAAACTAGCTGCTTTGTCTGTATCTTCTGATAACCGTCTGGTCAGTGTAATCCGAGTCAAAAATTTCATTACATTAGAATACAGGAAACGGACTTTTGATGCAGTCATTTCTGGAACTCCAATGGATAGGGCAGTGTTTCTTTAGGGAAATAGGTTGAAAATATTCTGATTTAAATTCCGACCATAGTTTATTGCTGTGTGCATAAAATACGTAAAATTCTTCAAGCATCTAGTAGAACATTTATATTTCATTTATGTTTTTTATGGAATCGTTTATGACTAGGTTTAAGCTGTGAGCTACACAATAAACCTAGCATTCCAAGCTTTGGATGATCAATCCTTGAATCCCAGAATGCATGCCAAAATGTCTGGCATGCATTCTAAACTCTGTTTCTGAGTTTTGGTTACAAAATTCAAGCTTGATTTTTGTCTTGGTCTTGCAAGTTAGGGTCTTCTTTAATTAATATCACTGACTACGAACATTGAATTGTATTGATAACAATTTAATTTCTTGACTGATACTTATCAAGTTATCAAAAATGAATAGTAAATAAAGAACAGTGATATAATTATGAATGCGGGCTGAGAAGTTTAGTCTACACTTTAATAAAACAGCTAAGCGTCGAGGTAAATTATTAAAAATACAGCCTTACTATTTATTTACAAGACTAAACTGAAAAACTCTAAGGAGTGAAATTACTTGAAGTAAAGAATTAACTTTGGATTGTGACTAACCTCAATAAATTTCTGCCATTATGAAGAGATTATGTTAAAAAGAAAAATTATGTAGTCTTGTAAATAGTCTAATAAGGCTACTTTTCATTTTTCTTTTATTAATTTATGTCGATCAATTGCTGTTTTATTAAAGTGGAGGTAAAACTTTTTAGCCCTTTCTTGTATACGAAAACAATCTCAGCTGCTGTTTATTTTTAAAGTAATAAGCTTCAACATTTATTTTTACAAAGACAAAATTCATAATTTTATTTGAAAGAAAATTCTTTAGTTTATTTCCTTTTTATCAAATTATATTAGAAAATGTTTCGTATTACAAATATATGATTGCAAAGATCTATAAATATTTAAAATAATAATAAAAATGCACGAGTAGCGAAATAATAACGATATTAAAATAAGATATTTCGTTAAAATATTAGATATTTACAAAATTATCATTTTGATTACAATGAATGGAGAAAATTAGCTGTTTTATTTACATACTTATGATAATTAAACTCGGTATCAATAAGTGGAATAAACTGAACTACAGACAACGTGAAATTAATTTAAAATTTAAAATATTTTAAATAAATAAACATAAATAACACATTTATATGTTAGAGTGTATCTTTATAGCCTAATTATTTTACTAAAAATATTAAAGAAAATTTCTAAACTGTACCTTATCTAAACACAAGTTTAGAAAAATTTATTACTTAAAAAGTAAATAAATAATCTTTGAACTTCGTAGAGTCCTATAGAAATAGGACTCAGGCATAAAGATTCTGTAAATGTTATAAGTTTAAAGCCATTGGTCTAGATAAATCGATTAATCTATTATTATGATTATATTTCTCTAATTGGGCTGTAATTTGAAAAAATTGTAGACCTATAAATTCTCACTGTCGACCATCCTTCATTAATCTCGAGGAAGGAGTTAGATAGATGAAAGTCGAGACCAGATATGGAAAGCTTATAGGTAGGAGGCTCAGATTTCCTATACAGTATACGAATTTTCGATTTTTCCGTTATTTTAATTCAAAGCTTTTCCTCTGAAAGGAGTTAGATAGCTGACCGACACGTCTCTATTGCTAACAGGAAAAGTATGATGTACAGGGGTAAGCCATTACTAATTTAAGGTGGAGAGCATATATTTTAAATTAAATAAATTAAAAATATGATTAAAAATTGACAGCCGTTTATTATTAATATTTATTCTTTTAAGTTTAAATTAAATTTTTATTATTTTTACTTGTTTACTTTTGAAAATTGTACATTTTAATTAAATGTAAGAAGTATTTTGAGTTTTTATTCTAAAAAATTTAGTAATTCTAAAAGTTGAAAAAAATCATTTTTTCATAAGTAAAGTAATTTAAAAGTATTTTAAATATTTAATTTGATTTTTAATGACTTTACTCTTATAAAAAAATTTGTTAATATTTTATACTGTGAGCTATTGACATTTTTTTTAAGTTCTGTAACTGCCTATTTGAGAAGTTAAACTTAAAATGGCAAAGATCTACAATAAAAAAAACCATCAAGGGGAGATATATTCGAGTAAAACTCTAATGAAAAATAATGAAAGTATAAAATAAATATACCAGCCGTAATAAAAATGAATATTATATTATATTAAAAGATTAAGTATTTGGTTCCTTCAAATGAAGCAGATTCTGGTGGCAACACTGACGATATTGAGAGAGAATAAGGCGCCACTGTAGAGGTAGAGAGAGTGTAATTCTGAACGAGTTGTTCAGTGTCTACACATGTATAATAAATCATACTTGCATTGGACGTCTGAGTCTATGTTTAGAAGGAACGAAATATAACAGAAAAAACCAAAATATATTTTAAAATATTCGCACTCTTAAAAATTAAAAGGTCTTCCGGTTTGTGGTGTCCACTTCCAAGTGTCCAACTTCATCTATTTAGTGTTCAACTACTAAACCTCTTCTCATTACTATTCTAATTCCTTTGACACAACGTCTCCTAGGTTCTCTCTTTTACGCCCACCAGTGATTAAGTCAAGAAAATCATTAAACACAGGTATTTTGTCGTCGGTTCGCACCGGACTAATGGACTGACCACGTAAAGTTTTCCAAGTTTTCTTCGCATGTCTAACACCTAAATAGAAGCCACTTTTTAAATGTTCTTCTAGAGGTGACAGATTGCTGTATATGTCGAGTTGCCATATCCCATTAATCCAATTCAATCCTTTCTCCTTTTTAACCTGGCGGTTACTAGTCTGTCTCTCTCTCTTGCATCCAGTCCGAATACTTCCTTTCTACATAAATGAACCATTTTTATTGAAGAAATTTAACGTTGTTGTTTTTCCAATGATGTTTTTTTCCCTGATTTTCTTTGTATACCTCTCCAAAAATGCATTTTTATTGCTAATAATCTTTTATTTTATCCCTTTCA